TATACCCGTGTTGTACATTATGCTGTACGCCATGGATGAGCGCTTTGTAAAAATGAACGGATTGATTATTCAGCTGCGGGCGCCATCTTCTGGCGAGATGCGGGAATTCATTCGGCGCGTGACTCTCACGGTGCATTATGGGCATTCTCTAGCCATTGAGCGTGCACCAGTTGTACACTCGTTTTTGCAGTGCATTGTGGGATTGAATGAGTGCACTCGAGAACGTCCACTATGGTTTCGGACACCACTAAAAATGGCTGTTCCCTCAAATAGTGCCCTATTTAAGGGTACAGGGGGCGATTTCGGACACAGCCGCTAATTGGCTATCGCCGGGTTCGTCATAGAATGCGACATGCCGTGTTTCTGGTGATGCGTGTTTTGAATGAGGAACACGCGCCTTTACGGAGTGGATGGGGATAGTATTTGCAGCGTTTAACAACTTAAATTATGCCCTGCTCCTCACAAACTATTATATTCCGCCAGAGAGTACTGCGACTGCAACGCGTCGTCATTTGGACTACTGTGGTACTGCTTTTTGACATTTCTGCAATAAATTCTTGTGATTACACGTGTCTGTATGTTGCGTTTCTCTTATTGACTGTATACTTTATAAAAATAAAACATTTTTAATGCAATACATTTTTTATTGCACGGTTCTATATATATATTCATTATAAAATTACAGAGTTTGAATGTAAAAATACAGCTAAATAGAATATTAACTTTATTAACTTTAAAAAGAACATTAAATTGATAGTATGGACATAAACCTTTAATATAATGAGCTACATTATTTAATTACATATTTGTAATTTTACGTAAATTTGTACATAATTTAAGAAAACAAAAAATACTGTATAAATAATACAGTATTTTTTTGTATAAAAAATGAGAATTACTATAATTTGTCATTAATGGAATAATACTTAAAATAACAGTCAAGTTGTTAATTTACAGATATTGTTTGTAATTTTACATGAATTTGTATGTCATTTAAGAAAACAGAATAAAATACTGTATAAATAAAGTAATTTTCCCGTATAAAAAATGAGAATTACTGTAATTTGTCATTAAT